ATAGTTGGATTACTAACAAAATCTCAAGATGTCTTTCTGTGAGGATGCGGCGGTCCTTACAAAATTCATCGAGCAAGAGAGAATCTTTGACTTTTTGGGAGGACTCAATAATGGGCTTGAACAAATTCTAATTCAAGTTTTAAACAAAAAGTCTTCCTTTGAGTGAAGTATTCTTTCTTATTCGAGTAGAGGGAAGGACGCTGATGATCAATAGTCCAATTCTCGAGATATCTGTCAGGACAACCTCTGAATCCCAAGGTAAGGAGGGACTTTCTGTCATAAAATCTTCTCCAAAAGAAGGACAACATCGTTCTTTCATAGGAAATCTCTGGTGCAACTACTGCAAAAGAAAATTGTACACCAAAGATAAATCTGGAAATTTCACGGGAAACCCCAAGACCATGAAGTAAAGGAGAAAATAAGAAATGCCAAGTCTGCCTAGTGGAGTCAAAATGTCTCAATTCAGAAGAAATTGAAAAATTATGGAATTTTCTCAATTTTTTTGAATAACAATTAGTATCTCATTTTCTTTCTAAAAATATCTCACCCGCCTATGTTTAATATCTCACTCACCAATGTCGAATATCTTCCTCTAAGAAAATTACTTTTTGATTTTCATCTTTAATGCATTTTACTTGAATTAATCTTTACCTTTTTTTTCCCTTTATTTGGCTAGTTTATATATATATATATATATATATTCATCATCATTTGTATCTAATTTATTATATAGACCACTAATTATAAAGATCACTAAAAGCAATATTTTGTAAGATGGTGGTGAGATCTACAATGCTTTATGGCGCAGATTGTTGGCCTTTAAAATAGAAGCATAAAACTAAGCTAAGTGTTGTCGGGATGAGAATGATTAGGTAGATGAGTGGCTTTACACTTAGAGACAAAATGCAAAATAAATGCGAAACAAATGTATTTGTGAAAGGGTTGGTATAGCTTCAGTGGCAGACAAGATTAGAGATAGTCATCTTAGATGGCTTGGTCACATTAAACTTTAGCCATCTGATGATCCAGTTAGGAGATTAGATGTTTTAGATTCGACTTATGTTTAGGAAGACAGAGGTAGACCAAAAAATTCTTGGCATTTTGTTAAAAAAAATAATCTTAATTTATTAGAATTAAATGAAAATATGACATTGAATATGACACAATGGAGAAAAATGATTCATTTAGCCGACCCCACTTAATGGGATAAAGGCTTGTTGTTGTTGTTGTTGTAGTGCCTTTAATAGTTCTTTTCCTTCATAGATTCTAATTTAAGGGACCACCAACTACATAACTAACCTTGCTATATTTCAAATGTACAAATCCTGTCCTTGCAATATGAAAATAGAAGTTGTAGATGGATCTTTAAAAACTGTTGCAGGATGGGGACATTTTAATTTCTCTCAACTTAACCCTAAGTAATTTATTACATGTCCCAAACCTTATTGTTAATCTTTTGTTTTTTCATAAATTTACGAAAGATCATAGTTTCAAAACTATATTTTTACTAACTATTGTGTTTTTCAGAATCTCACTATGGAGAAGATGATTGGAAAAGATAGAGGAAATGATAGATTATACTTTCTTGAATATCGATGTCAATTACCATACTCCTTTACCTCTTATATTACAAGTAACATATGGACTCATCACTTTATATGAGGACATCATTTTCTTAAACTTCAATGTATATTTCCTTCACTTTTCATAAATACTAATATTCAAGACTTTCATTGTGAAACTTAGTAAATTGCTAAATATTATTGTATTTTTTTTTAAAAAAGTAGCTCTTGTTCTTTTAATCCTTTTGTATTAATTCATTCTGATATCCGAGGACTCTCTAAAATCTCAATATCTCTAAAGTCATTGGTTTTGTTATAATTATTTATGACTGTACTCGAATGACAGATATATTTAAATAAACATAAATCCGATGTTTGCATAATACTTCCTATATTCATTGTCATCCAATTTAACTTAGGATAATTTTTTTGGATTGATAATGCCTGTGATTATTTTAGCCACACATTGACATCTTTACCTAAAAAAAATTATATTATCCACCAATCTTCCTAACCTAACACTCCCCAACAAAACGGAGCGGCCGGAAGAAAAAGTTCACATTTTAGAGATAACTATGACACTTCTCTTGCTCATTCAAATACCAAAATAATATTGGGTAGAAACTATTCTAACAGTTACCTATTTAATCAATAGAATACTCTGAAGAGTAATTGATTTCTAAAGTTCATGAAATTATTTGAAAGAATTCTTTTCTAAAAACAACTTCTTAAAAAACCCTCTAAATTTTTTTTTGATGTATTGCTTATATTCATAGCCATAAACAACATAGGAAAATTTGACTCAAGAGCTCTTAAATGCATATTTATAGGATATTATACCACATAAAAAGAGTACAAATGCTATCATCAACCCCTAAAATGTTTTTTCACTTCAATGGATGTCACTATTGACGAAACCAATAGTTTATTTACTCAAACTCATCTTCTAGAGGAGAATTCCTATCTTGATGAATTTGATGATATATTTCATCTTGATATTCTTGTAATAGAAAATCCTTTAAATGCAAATGTTATACCAACTATACCCCTTTTGGTCTATACGCGAAGATACAAGTCTAACCAAGATCTCCATCGATTCCAAGATTCAGAACTGTTACCAGATAATGCTACTCGACCCACTACGTCTTATTTAGATCCCATCTCTCAATACACCTCATTAAATTTTCTCCATCTCATAGTGCCTTTCTAAACATCAACATGGATCATATTTCCATTCCGCAAATTCTATTTGGGGCACTTGAAAATAAAAATTCAAAATAAGCCATGTAAGAAGAGATAAATGCCTTAAAAAAATCATATATGAGAGATCAGTGAATTTTCAGAAGGAAAGAAATTAGTAGGATGCAAATGAAATTTTACGGTGAAAAACAATGTAGTTGGGAGCCTAGAAAATATAAAACAAAATTAGTAGCAAAATGATATACTCAGTCATATGAGATTTATTATTAAGAAATTTTACTATTATTGCAAAAATAAACACTATTCACATTTTGATATCTCTAGTAGCCAATTATGGATGATTATAGAACAATATGATGTAAAAAATGATTTCTTACGTGGTGATGTTGAAAAAGAGGTCTATATGGATCTATCACCAGGATTTGATAGCTCTTTTAAAAATATCAGGTATGCATATTGAAGAAGACCTTATATGGACTAAAACAATCCCCAAGAACTTGGTTTGATCATTATGCAAAGATAATGAAAGAAGTTGGATACAAACAAATTCAAGGAAATCATACTCTCTTCATAAAGCCCTATCTTGGTGGTAAAAACTCATTCCTTATTATGTATATTGACGATATGATTGTTATAATAGATGACAATCACTAGAAAAAAATTCTCAAAAAAGGCTTGCTAAAAAATTTAAAATTAAAGAGTCAAGAAAACTTAAATACTTCTTGGAAATAGAATGACTCAATCTAAGCAGGGGACATTTCTCTCTTAATAAAAATATGTTATGAATTTGCTGAAAGAAATTAATATGACAGAGTGTAAGCCTCGTGAAACTCCAATTGAACCATGACAAACACTAAACTTTGATGAAGAAGCTGATGTAGATACAGGACAATATTAAAGGTTAATAGGAAGATTAATTGTTTTATCTCACACCCATCCTAATATCACATTTACAGCAAGTCTAGTTTGTAAATTCATGCGCAAACCTAAATATTCATACCTTCAAGTCATATATAGAATCCTCAGATATTTCAAATCTAGCATGGAAATGCAATTTTATGTAGAAGATATGATACCCTACAAGTTGAAGCACACATAGATGCAAACTATGTTGCATCACTGGTGGATAAAATGGATAGTGTACATTCTTAGGAGGAAATCTTATAAATTGGAGAGGCGAGAAACAGTCTGTGATTTCAAAATCAAGTGCTGAAGTCAAGTTTGAAGTCATTGTGCTAGTGATTTGTGAGCTTCTATGGGTTAAAATTATATTTGACGATTTAAAAATTAAGTGAAAAGTGCTTATGAAATTATATTGTGATAACAAATCAGCCATCAATATTGCCACAATCCTAGCCATCAATATTGCCACAATCCTGTATAACATGACCGTACCAAGTATGTTAAGGTTGATAGACATTTTATAGACAAGAAATTGAAAAGTAGTCTTATTTGTACTCCATACGTGTCCACAGGAAATCAACTGGTTGACATAATCACCAAAGAGCTCTGCAAACCAATATTTAAAAATATCACAAGCAAACTTGGAATGGTTTGAAGGGGAGCGTTAAATTTTTGCTTCAATCATAACAAAGAACTTAAGGTACGTATATCAAGGCTATATATCATTAGATATATCTCTCCATGACCGTCAGATAGTAATATATCTGTTCTTCTATAGGATCACTGGCCCCTAATTATTTTCCCTTATTTTCTAATTTATTCCTATTTTATAATGTCTATTGGAGTTGTATATGTGCATTCTCTCTTTTACAAAAGCAGAGTACAAAAATTCCTGAGAGTTTTTATCACCACTTATTTTCTACATTTTTGTTAAAAATTTACTTCTTACAGCCAGACTGATCAGTGTGTTGCAGGCATAAGAAAAATGTTGTTTGACTTGAAAAAAACAAAGGGTATGCATGATACTTGCAACAAATTAAAAAAAACTGATTTTTCTACAATAATTTTATATTCGTTTTTATAAAAAACTGCAGTTTTTTGAAAGGAATTCTAAATCTCTAAATAAAGCTTCTAAAAACCTCTTTAGCATTCATTGTGTTGCTCAAAATATTTGTACATATATGACCCTCTAGAGCTTATTTTTTTGCTTTGTACACATCGAACCGATTCATCGAACCATACGATCATTGCCAAGCTTTTTTAATTCTATGCACTGATATATATATTTGAGGCTTATAACATGTTCCTTACCCCATAATGCCTTTCTTCTCCCAGTGCAGATGCCCAGCATGCTCTTCACTGGACTTGAGGATTACAAGACAAGAGGAACTCAAGCAACCCCTTATTTTACCATCACCCATTACACAGAATTTGCAGAAAGCAAGGGTATAGTACTCGTTCGAGGCGAAGTCGTGCTTCCGAGCAAACTCGATGACTCGGAGGCACGACGGCTTCTAGAAACTGCTCAATCCTTCTACCTGAATGATGCGAAGTACAAACTTGTGGAGAGGTTCAACAAAGAAGCTCATGAGTTTGAGTTCAATGATGTGCTGAGAGCACTAGAAATGCCTCTTTTATGATTATAACTTTACCTCATTTTGAGCTGCCTGTTTGTTTTGATTTTTTGGGAAATAAATCCTGAGTAATAATGTTGGCCTTTAGGAGAAAAGAGGTCATTTTAGAGAACTTTTTCTGTTTTTATTGTTCTGACAATTCTGATGGTATTTTACTGTAGGGTTTGGATAATTCCAGTTTTAGTTCTCTGTCAACTATTGCAAGGCTGACAGGCTTTATGAGTGACTAGGTATGCTAAGATATATGTTCTGATCGGCAAAAGATTCAGACGTTGCCTATATATATATATATATATATATATATATTTATTTATTTTTTTATTTACACACAATTTAAGTTTATTTGAATTTTATTTATTTGAAATTGGTTATTGTTTCAAATTATTTGTGGATGTCATATTCTTATTCGTTCCAATTAACTTCACGTTAAATACGAGCCTACTTCAAATAAACAAAAAATAAATAAATAATGAAGCGAACATTATAGAATTATTCTATTTACTTGCTAATTAATTAGGGGTGTAAGTACTTGATTGTTACTCGTGAGATTGCTCGAGCTCGGCTCGATTGGTAGCTCGTGTATTGAGCTCGATGAGCTAACAAGCTAAGTTCAAGCTAGTCCCAACTCAACTCGTTAGTTATTGAGCCTGCTCGTTTAAAAAAAATATTAATATAAAATATACTCAAAATTTATTAAATTTAAAGATTTTATTTTTAAAGTAATAAAAAAGTTTAAAAAATAATATTTTGTATTTAATATTAAATGATTTTTTATTATTTTTCTCATAATTTCTCATTCTATTAGTCATTTTATTGTAACACTATTTTAAATTAATTTTACTATCTCATTTATAATAAACAAGCCGTGAGCCGACTCAAGCTTGTAAATTTAAGCTCGAGCTCAAACTCAATAAAATTAGTCAAGCCCAAGCTCAAGGCGAGGATGATTCGAATTCGATTCAAACTCTTTTACACCCTTATAATCAATTAATAAATATACAAATATGTAAAATTATTAATGCTTAATTATACATATAATGTTCAAAAAATGATCGAAGAAGATTATATTTGTGTTCGATTCATTATAAAATGACGCTAAAAAATAGGGCTGTCAAAATGACTCGTTGTTTGTGAACAGCTGGTGTTCGGCTCGTTGGCTAAGTTAACGAGCCGAACACGAACAAAGATTTGCTCGTTCGTGTTGGCTCGTTTTGGCTCAAAATACTACTTAGCAGTTATATATATATATATATATATATATATATACCAATACATGAAAAAATATATTTCATTTTTTAAAGTTTTAAATAGTGATATTTTTGGTTGATATAGATAGAGCATTTGGGTGGTATAAATGCAAAAAAGAATCCAATAACGAGAGATAGAATTTCTTTCTCTAATCTTTATTTTTTTCTATACTTTTCGATGAAGAGAAAATATACATTTTCGTTTTGGGAGAGAGATGACTCTTCTCTTATTTATAAGAGAAAAGATAAGTCTCTTGGGAAGAGACACAACCTTTCTCTTAATTATTCATTATTAACCTCATTATTAACCACCATTATTAACCACCATCCATCATGATAATTATTTATCAATAGGATTTAAAATAATTTAATTAATTAATTAAAGTGAAATGATACGATGTTTTTGGTGAAGAGATACAACTCTTCATTAGGATAATTGAATTAATTAATTAATTAAATAGAATGGATGCGTTGTCTATTTGGAAGAGACATGACCCTCTTGTTTTTAATTAATTAATTAATTATTATTGAAATAAATGACAATTTAAACCGAATAGATGCGTTGTCTATTTGGAAGAGACATGATCCTCTTCCTTTTATTTATTTAATTAATTATTATTAAAATAAATGACAATGGGCCACATAATTAAAATAATGAAAAACTAATATTCTCTCACTTGGCCCACGTAATACTTAATAGTGCATAACATACTGCATAAATGTAAGTTAAAATCCTTCTTTATATTGGTCAAATCATAAATCATCAATAAATATGAAATTAATATGAATCTTGGCGGATCCATGTATCACAATATCAATTGCATACTTAACATAATGAGAAATAACATCATGCTCCCATGATGTCTATTAAAAGACAAATTCTGTTAAACATCGCACAACGTAAAGTGTACACTAGAGATAAAATAAGATACATAAATATCAGAAACAATAAACTGAGCTTAAAGTGTCAAACATAAAGAACACTAAACATAAAACTAATAAAGGGTTTCGGTAATGTCCATTCTCACAACATGTTCGTTAAATGTCTGTGGTGGCAACCCTTCCGTCAATGGATCCACAATCATAAGGTTAGTGCTAATATGCTAAATTGACACCCTATGTTTCTGAACTTCTTTTTTAACGGTAAGATACTTTAATTTCATGTGTTTAACATCTTTGGAATACCATCGTTTTTAGAAAAGGCGATTGTTGCAGACTTATCACAGTAAATTTTCAGCGGCTTGACAATACTGTCGACAATTCCAAGTCCTGAAATAAAATTCCGCAGTCATAAACCCTGAATTGTAGCTTTGAAGCAAACCAGTAAGGTACTTTAATTTCATGTGTTTAGCATCTTTGGAATACCATCGTTTTTAGAAAAGGCGATTGTTTGTTGCAGACTTATCACAGTAAATTTTCAGCGGCTTGACAATACTGTCGACAATTCCAAGTCCTGAAACAAAATATAATCCCTGAATTGTAGCTTCGAAGCATACCACAAATTCAGCTTCCATAGTGGATGCAACAATGATGGACTGCTCCGCACTTTTCCATGAGAGTGCTCCTTCAGCCAAAAGGAACAGATAGCCAAATGTTAATTTTCTGGTATCAACATAACCAGCAAAATCTGAATTTAAATATCTTATTACTTCAAGATCATTAGATCTTCTATAAGTGAGCATGTGATTCTTTGTTTCTTGCAGGTACCTCAAAACTTTCTTTGCAGCTTTCCAATGATCTATTTTCCAATGATTTTGATATCTGTCTAGTATCCCGACAACAAAGCTAATGTCTGGTCTGGTACAAGTCTGAGCATACATTAAGCTTCCAACAATATATGCATAAGGAATTTCTTTCATTTATTTACGTTCCAAATCATTCTATGGACACTACATAAGGCTAAATTTATCTCCTTTCTAAATTGGAGCAACAATTGTAGAGCACCCTTCAATATTGAATCTCTTAAGAACTCTATCGATATATGCTTTCTGAGACAATCCTAACAATCCTTGTGATCTTTCACAAAATATTTCAATTCCAATCACATAGGATGCCTCACCCATATCTTTCATTTCAAAGTTCTTAAAGAGAAAATTCTTGATTTCATACAATAAGCCAAGATCATTAGTAGCCAGCAAGATATCATCAACATACAGAATGAGAAATATGATCTTTCTCCCACTAACCTTCAGATATATATACTGATTAACAATATTTTCTTTAAATCCAAAGGAAGTGATGGTATCATTGAACTTAAGATATCATTGTCGGGAAGCATGCTTAAGTCTATATATTGATTTCTTAAGTTTACACACCATGTGTTCTTTTCTTTCAACAAAAAATCCTTCAAGTTGACTCATGCAGACATCTTCATCTAAATTACCATTCAGAAAGGCAGTTTTCACATCCATTTGGTGTAACTCCAAACACATCCATTTGGAGTTTTCACATCCATTTGGTGTAACTCCAAATCATAATGAGCTACTAGTGCCATGATAATTCTAAATGAAACTTTCTTAGAAACTGGAGAAAAAATTTCTTTATAGTCGATGCCATCTTTCTGTGTGAAACATTTGACAACAAGTATGACTTTATATTGTTCAATATTGTCATTTGAGTCGCACTTAGTCTTAAAGACCCATTTACACCAGACTCTTTTACCACCTTCAGACAATTCAACGACATCCCAAACTTTGTTGTGATCCATCGATTTCAACTCACCTTTCATTGCATCTAACCATTTAGAAGAATTTGCACTTTCTATGGCTTGTGAAAATGAAATTGGATCTTCATTGACTCCCAAATCAAATTTATGTAGATAAACCAACTAATCATCAGAAGTAACAAACCTTCTTTGTCGTTGAGACCTTCTAGGTACAACTTCATTTGGTTAAGCTAATGTAGGTTCATTAGTGATAGTTTCATTATAAGGTGTTTGATCATTTATTTGTTGTTCATGTAAGTTGTCAGACCGTTCAACAATTGTAGAAATAACAACTTGAGAAGAAATTTCAGGTAAAAGAACTTGAACCTTAATTTCTTGGATTTTCACTTTACGTGATTCCAAACTCTCACTAACTCACTAACTTCACCATTAACTTCACCATTTTCAATGAACTTAGCATTTCTAGTTTCAATAATTCTTGTACTGCGGTTAGGACAATAAAATCTATACCCTTTAGATTTTTTTGGATAACCAATGAAGAAACCACTGGTTGTTCTAGTTGTAGAAACCACTAGTTGTTCTTAAGTCCAATTTCTTTTCAAGTGGGTTGTAAATCCTTATTTCCGCTGGGCAATCCCAAACATGCAGGTGCCTTAAATTATGTTTCCTTCCCGTCCACAGTTCAAAGGGAGTCTTTGGAACCGCCTTACTAGGAATCCTGTTTAACAAATATGCAGCGGTCTTTAAAGCATGCATCCACAATGATAAGGGTAAAGAAGAATTACTCATCATACTCCTAACCATTACTCCTAACCCCTAACCATTTCCATCAGAGTACGATTTCGCCTTTCTGCAACATTATTTTGTTGCGGTGTTCCTAGCATAGTGTATTGAGCGCATATGCCATTAGTTTGAAGGAATTTAGAAAATGGACCTGCACATTGTCCAGATTTATTGTACATTCCATAATATTCACAACATCTATTGTAACCTCTATCGGATCCGATGATTTTCACTTTTTTGTCTAATTCTCTCTCGACCTCAGTTATAAACACCTTTAAGACATCTAGTGATTGAGATTTTTCATGCAATAAGTAGACATACCCATAACGTGAAAAGTCATATATAATGGTGATAAAATATTTTTCTTCATCAAAAGATGGAACATCAAAAGGTCCACAAACATCAGTGTGT